ATTGTGTTATTCCATATTGTCATCGATCTACTACAAATTACGGTGTAATATATTCACATTATAGACTATAAAAATTTATAAATTGTGCGATTTTTTTTTATACTTAGTTACATCATTTATTTTAAAATTATTTTCGAAGCCTATGTAAAAAAATAAAAGAAGTTATTGTTAACATTATTAATTCAGTGTTATTTGACTAAATCAAAATCAAGTTTTACAATATGTCAACCTAATTGTATAAGTTATAAAATTTGTAATAACCTCCTAATATATTTACGTCTGCGTGAAAATACTTTTTTTTTAAATGCAACCTACAATCTATTCCACATTTGCACAACAATTAGATGTGCATCAATTTTTATAAAAAWCTTAAGCTATAACAATTTTACTACCTACATTATAATGTTATGTATAATTAAATTATAAWAAATAGCATACAACATTATATGGTTAGAAGGTTAGGTTACTTTTTTGCACATTGTCTTAAATGGAAAAATTAACATCGATTCATCCAACATAAACATCGATATAACTTATTTATTATTTACAATCGATGTCTTAACATGTAATTGTAAACGTCATATAATTGGAGAGATTGAAAAATGTATGCGAACGTCAATATTAAAATATGCAAGTGGCCTTCAGTGAAACGTGATAGGACGAAAGTGTCATTGTTGGCGGTTACATTAATTCATAATTTAATTATGTCGTTCTGTCAGTACTGTAAAAAGCGATAACCAGCATTGAATATTGATGGACGAAATTCAATAGAAGACTGATTAAGRCATTCACTAAATTTATGATTCACAAGAAAGTGCTACTCTTAATTTTTAAACATTTTATTCAAGATTTAATTCTTATTTTATTTTTGTTTTTACATAAATAAGCCATTATTATTCACTAAAAAGAGTAGGCCATGAAGTTATGTTTATAGTTAAAACTTGATTTTTTTTTAAACGTTATTATTATTAATCATTAACTAAATTAATTTATTAGTAAGTGTTTTTCTATTTTGTTACATAACTATGATTTTTTAATACCATGTTCTATATTGCAATGACTTAATTTTTTACTTTACTGACCTATACCAGAACTCGATTTATTGTATTCATTATTACAATTTATAATTTACCTAGCTATCTTAGAAACAAAAAAAATTTAAAAATAAACTGTGATTAGAGCTCAAGTAAATATTTGACTGGTATTATGTTTTAATTATTTACTTGGGATGACGTATTGAAGTTTACCTATTATATAGTATTTATTTTCTTAAATATGGATATTATTAGTTAACATTATTATGTTCACAAAACAATTTTAAATATTTAACTTAATTTAAATATAATACCATTTTTGATATACATACTACAAATCATCATTCATTAATAATTAACAATTGTAAATTATGAAAGCGATTGTATTCAATAGACTAATAGAGCATCTATGGGGTGTAAGTGCCTACAGGTACAGGAAAAAAAGGGCATAAGAACCTTTTTTTTTAAATTACCTATAACAACTATATAATTATATTATAATTATGAATAATTAATCCATACAAAACGTAAAAGTCCTATGACGTAACTTATTAAATCTCAAAACCATTTTTTATTTGATGTTCTAAGGTTATAATACAATTTATTTGAAATATTTGGTTTTTTGGTTTTCCAGAACAATTTAGTTTTAGATGCTTACCTACATCTTTTTACCTTCCAACCATTTTGTGTTAATCTATGTATTTAATAACATAATAATAAGTAATAACAGTTTATCAAAAATTGAAAACTCAGTGCTGATAAAATAAATATCAACATAATAATACATTATAATACAAAATATAATCATACTAGTATATCAATAAAGTATTCCTTACTTCGCAATGTTTGTATGTTATCAGAAGTAGCTGGCATAACACAAATTACAACTGTTAAAATTGTAATGGTTACTAAACTATGATTTATAAAAATCATTTTGATTTAATATAAGAAAATAATAAAAATTTTGAACTTTGAAGAGTTACTTGAGAACTTTGAACAAAAACTAAAATAAAATCAATATCTTAATTTCTTTTATAAGCGATCTGTTCCCATT